CTATTTTTATGTATAGACAATGTAAATAAAAGTATGTCATTTATACAAATTAATACTTTTATGCATAAAAAATTACTAAAAAAAATGTGTTAGATATTTATTTTGAGAAATGCTACGGTATCGTTACGGAACCATTCTGTCCGGTTGTAACCGTTAGCTTATCATGTAACCGTTGGAGATAGTTGATCTAACGGTTACAAATTTCGACGGAATGGTCGGACCGAATCATTTCTCTTTATTTTTATTTAGTACTCTCTCTTATTCTTTTTAAATGTCATTCTAGCTTTATCAACTATTTGCTAAATAAATGTCGTTTTAGATATTTTGTACATATTTTTTCATTATTACCCTTATTTAGCTAATAAATACATTACGTCTTTTCATATTCACTATTCACTTTTTTCTTAAAACATTTATCTCTATCTTCATTAAATAAGGTAATTATTGACAAAAAGAAATATTTTTAATTAATGTGCAACTTCTCAAAACGATGTATATTAAAAATAGGCGGTAGTATTAGTATTAGTTTATAACTAATCAAAGCACACGTATTAGATATTTGACTACCAATTACATAACAAATTTGGGAACAGCCACCAAAATATCTGATCAAAGATTCGACCTTTATTATCATCAAAAGTTCTGATTTCACATTTGAATTTTCAGAACACATTTTTCATCGTTCAATTCAAATGTAATAAAATTAATACGCGGCGCCGAAAAAAGGTAGACCACCTATGCCTACGCCGTGTTCCGATCATCCTCCTCCTCCTCGGCTGGCCTCCATTTTCCTACTTTTCTCCATTTTTGGACGGCTGGCCAAGTCCAATTTCGCAACCCCTTTTTTTATACAACACAATAAAAATCCGTTCTTGGCCGGCCAATCCCTTATAAAAATATTATCTATCGGCTCTACCTGCCTCCATTACAATACCCCATCATCATTTATCATTCAACTTCATCTCTTTCAGAACAACAATCAACAGAACCTTAATTAATTTCTCAGTTGTTGTTTCAGATTTTCCGGCAGAAGCCCATCATCGATACGAATATATGATATTTGAGGGGTCCCTTCTGTAAATTCAATCAGTCCCCCGTAATCAATTTTCCTCTAGATCGGAAAAAATGGTGTTCAAAGCCGGCTCGTCCGCCAATTCACTGCCGCGGGAGGACACCCCTCTGTTGTCCGGCGCCGGAAAGGCCCACCCCCTCTCGTCCCAGCCCAAGACATTCGCCAACGTCTTCATCTCCATCGTCGGCGCCGGCGTCCTCGGCCTCCCGTACACTTTCATGCGCACCGGCTGGCTGACCAGCCTCGTCACCGTCTTCCTCGTCGCCGCCCTCACCTACTACTGCATGATGCTCCTCATCCACACCCGCCGCAAGCTCGAGGACTCCGCGGCCTGCGCCTTCCCAAAGATCTCATCTTTCGGAGATCTGGGGTTCGCCGTCAGTGGGCCCATCGGCAGGTTCGCCGTCGACGCCCTGATCGTCCTCTCCCAAGCCGGGTTCTGCATCGGCTACCTCATTTTCATCGGCAACACGCTTACCAGCCTTTTCAGCTCCTCCTCCGCCGCAAGCCCTACAGTTTTAGGGTTCTCTGCGAAGAGCATATACATCTGGAGCTGTTTTCCTTTTCAACTGGGCTTAAATTCGATTCCTTCTCTCACTCTCTTAGCTCCCCTGAGTATTTTTGCAGATATAGTGGACTTGGGCGCCATGGGAGTTGTTATGGTTGAAGATATCCTCATATTCACCCGGCAGTTACCGTTAGTTGAAGCTTTCGGCTCCGTTTCAACCTTTTTTTACGGGCTAGGTGTGGCCGTGTACTCGTTCGAGGGAGTTGGAATGGCTTTACCCTTAGAATCAGAGATGAAAGACAGATCAAAATTCGGAAAGATTCTAGCTTTAAGCATGATTTTCATAGCTGCAATGTATGGTGCTTTCGGGGCCATGGGTTACTTTGCGTTCGGAGAGAACACGAAGGATATCATCACGGCAAACATGGGAAAAGGGCTGTTGAGTACTTTAGTTCAGCTGGGCCTCTGTATAAATCTGTTCTTCACCTTCCCTTTGATGATGAATCCTGTGTTTGAGGTGTTTGAGAGGAGATTTTGGGAGGGAAAGTATTGCCTGTGGTTGAGATGGATTCTTGTTTTGATCGTGAGCCTTTTCGCATTGTTTGTCCCGAATTTCGCTGATTTTTTGTCTTTGGTTGGTAGCAGCACTTGTTGTGTGCTGGGCTTTGTTTTGCCTGCAATGTTCCATTATCTGACATTCAAGGATGAGATGAGCTTCAGACGAGCTGGCATTGATGTAGGCATAATTGTGTTGGGTATCGTTCTTGGTGTATCGGGAACTTGGTATTCCCTTCTAGAAATTTTTTCTGTGAAGGTATGATTGGAAAAAAAAAAAAAAAAGGTTCTTGAATTGATTTGATTGTCAAGTGTTTTTTAAGTACTTGATGATCATAGTGTGTGTGCCACATGTTGAAATTTGTTAATTCCGTTTCGTTTGAAGACATTTGCAGCGAAAAAAAAAGAATACATCCAAAATGTTATATTGTTACATTGTAAAAACGTTAGTGATTCAAGAACGTGTATTTGTATGATACATTGCAAGTTCTTTCTAGTGTACGTGTGTGTGATTTTGCTATTCTTGAAATATATGGTTCTTGATTCGATATATTGAAATCTAGACAGCTTTAACAAGCCTCTTAAGGGCTATCTATTCTATATGTTTGCTCATTGAATTGGGAATATTGTCGATATCCCTGGCATTTGCAGTGGCTATATGCTAAACGGTTACATTCGCAGTGGCTATATGCTATTATGCATGGTGATTAGCAGATGAAAAAATATAGTTTCGAAACGTTCGATATATTCAGGACTTGAAAGTCAGAATGTCGATATATCATGCTTTTACTTCAGCTGATTTATGAAAGTCCAGGCTAATCTTGCTGTCCGAACGTAATCGTCAGCTCGTTTGCTATCAAGGTTATTCTGTGATGTGATGATACACAAACACAATAGTTATTTTTGCTTGAGGCCATAAATGGATCTAAAAACCAATTGCGAAAAGGCTCGATTTGCATCCTATAGACACACTCATGCAGTTTTGGACCACCATCACATATAACAAATTCACAGCTAACACATATGGTCCACTGTAAAGGTAACCATTTGATTTTGCTGATATATTTGCACAGCTGCTTAAATTTTATTTATTTATTTATTTATTTATTTATTTATTTTTGCTGATGGTGATTTATAAGACATAAATATAAGCTTATGGTTATGGTAGGCTGTGCATGAGTGTTTTTTTTTATTACTATTATTTACATAGCAGGGCCCAGAAAATGTGAAAAGCCCCCTTCTTTTTTTTTTTTTTTGTGAGGAAATCCTTGATTTTAGGAAAAATTGTAAAATAACCAAAATATTTGTGGTATTGGATACATGTTCAATCTCATTATTTTAAATAACCAAAATATTTATTAACATTAATTTATTATTCTCGCTTTATATCACATCACAATAATTTAAAAAAGTTATTAATTCCTCTACTAAATTCAATTTTACTAATAAAAAAAACTATTCAGAAATGAAAATATATCCAATAGCATTAGTGTTCTTTTAATTTTTCTTTTTCCCAATTATATTGAAGACATAACTAATAAATACTTAATTCTCATGCAATGAGATGAATAATACGAGTATCACAAATTCTTGTATGAACAAGTCTAACGGTTAAAAGGGTCGTGTTGTTATACTATGATAAGAAAAATGCAAGACTTATGTTGTCATATACTATGTTATTTCTAAAGTATATTGTTAATACCCAATTTTGGCCCCGCCTATTAAAATATTACACGTGAATATATATTATATCAATTGTTTTATTTTATGTCCCACAAAGAACACCGCTTGTAATAATAACGGGCCCACCAAAAATATATATATATAAACCCCAATGATGGACGTCAGATAGATAAGTCTGAGGGGATATACTTTTCTTTATCTATCTGATCTTGGGAAGAGAAAGGCGGTGCTTCATCCGCTTTCT